CATAAAGTCTCAATGGTGCAGAAGAATAGTCTGGACTACTGACGAGGTGTTTCAGGAGCGTTCGAAGGTCCTTCGTCCCAACAGCAATAAGACTTTTTAACAAACATGTAAAAACAGTGTAACAATTATTCCTCTCATCCAATATGCTCACTTTGCACAAACACGGACAGTAACCTGAATCTACCTCCTATCTTTCCATCTATCTATCTATCTATCTATCTATCTATCTATCTATCTATCTATCTCATATTCAATCTTCAGATGTGTGTGCAATCCTTTTTGAATTGTTACATCCAATGTATATTTCCACTATACTATATTTCTGGTATCCTTTTATAGTGTTTACATATGAAATATATATAAAAAGCCTAGAAAATTGGGTCTGGACATTTTTAGTTTGTCTTACGCATATGAAGTGGGTCAGATGCAGTCACAACAACAGGACAGTTTCCAGAACATTCAGATGAGGGTTGTAGTAATTCCACTTGGCAAATCGATTTTGTTTACTGCACATCGACACCAGTATTGACCCTTTTCACCAAAAGCTCTTGAATCTTGTCTTTCCAAGTTGACCTATTTGTAGGTGTCTCATCCTGAGATATTACCTGTTTTTCACTTTTGCATCCGTCCTGTATTCTCACAAAGGCACAGATATTTTACTAAGGGCGGTGGCAGGATACGTTCCAGAAAATGTCCAGAGCAGCTGACTCAGACATCTGCATGCATGCAAGCAGCTTAAGTGACCATCTGAGTTTTCATCTATGTCCTCATCAGCATAAATCTTTAAAAAGACAGACTATCAAACAAAATGTTGTTTCCATCACCTTCAAAAATATACAGTCTTCTTCCATTTAACACTTCTCTTAGTCTTGGTCTTTTATGTTAGAATCGAAGTGGTATTGAGCTCAGCTGCAGTGACCTGCCTCGCCTCAACACTTCATTAAAAAGATGCTCTCTGCCATGGCAACAGCATCACCATGCTCTCACCATTTCTGGCTGCCAGGTTATTTCAGTAGTTGAGGGCAGCGAGTCTATTCTGACAAGGTGAGAGGTGAGAAACATTTTTCTTGTGCTGCCAAAGGTTCGAGTGATAATGGTGTGACGGAGAGAAGCTGTAAAAATGTTTCCAGAGACAGACGTTATTACTACGATGTGTCGGAACAAAGACTATTTCCAACAACTTGGGGTTGTGACTCACAAGAAGCGCTCAGTGTGAAAGTCTGAAAATATCCAGACACTAAGTGATGCAGCGCACTGCTGCAAATGGCAAACAGCTGTTGGGTGCATTAAATCACTTTGAGGTGATGTTAAAAACATGGGAGGATCCATCTTTCAAGCCAATAGTTGCTTTAATTAATTGTTTAAAAAAATAAATAATTTAATGACTTTTCAAGGATTCAAAAATATCTTTACTGTTTTGGTTCACTCTCACTGCTCTTCACTGCTCTTCACAACCATTATCAAATCATTTTCCCCATCTAGTAAACACAGTGTATCATTTAAAAGCTAGAGAGCCAGATATTTCTCTCAGGAGGCAATGAAGGCCAAAACCAGAGCAAAAAGGGGGGGACTTTTGGAATTATATTCATCAGGTGAAAACAAACTTTACTCCAAATGAATGATAAAGTTACTTAGTAACTACAGAATGTGTCAATAAAAACTTTGACAAAGCCGGCCCAAAATATTGCAGGGTAAATTGCAGCGCGTGTGCACAGAAAAAACACAGTAGATGATTGTTCTTTGTACACTTCAGGGTTTGTGTGCAGATTCAAAATGGAGTGAAAACATGTTAATTAGTGAGGTTGGGATGCAGTGGTGGTAGATACAGTTTAAGAGTCTTATTTCCCTCAGGTAGACAGAAAACCCAGCAGAGCAGTGATACAGATGTGGAAATCCACTAAAACTTCAGGGAAATCATCAGTTAGAAGACATGCTCCTCTGACACACAAGAGACTGTATCATTGAGGAGGCATTGCAATCAGTACTGCTCACTAACATGAAAGTAAAAACAGCTCAAGTTGTCAGATGTTTATACGTTTAAAGATGGAAACTACATGAATATTATTATCGCACAAACATGACAGGTATCTCCCCTTGTTTATATTATATTATGTTGAAAACAAATCCCTTTATATGTTTTGTGATTTGCCAAAAACCCAGACAAACTCTCTTCCTCGCAGTGAAACTGCGTGTATTCCTGTGTAGCAGTGATGATTGTGGAAAATATTTTCCGCACAAACAAGATTCATGAGGCTTTCTGGGAGCTTTGCAAAGCAAACACTGTTGGCATTTCAAATTCTCGTTCAACACAGACAGCTCAAAATGACTTTTATTAATTAATAACTCCTCAATTAATATAAAGTGCAGGCATGAAACAAATTCTCACAATTTACTTAACATCTTTCTTTTTTTAAACAGTTAGTGTCCGTTTATCATCTGTCATGTCAGTCCAGTCACGATTCATGAAAACTGAAATACAAGAGATCAGAGGATGGACAGTTGAAGCTACATTCTGGGACTTCACATCCATATGGCAACGAAAGGTAAGAAATATATTAAAGGGCCAATTCACGCAAATCACAAAAACATATTTTTCAACTTCAACTCCAGGTTTACATGATCAGGTTATGTAATTCATCGTCACAGACTGTACATAAAGATGGACAATGCATTTCCACTTAACCCACTAACCAAAAATTAAGTCAAAATATCCCAGATATGGTGGCTGCCATCATTTGGACCCAGAGCCTGCACAGTAGCGATCAGGGAATGGAAATGTGGTCGCGGAACCTTGCAGATACATGCACTGGACCAATCACAAGTGAGTCCCAGCGGTCAATCGTAACGTTTTCACCCGCGTTCTAGCATTATTTTTGGGAGGTATCATGTAGTCCATCTTTAAATACAGTCCATGTTAGTCATAGTTTTATTTGCTGAGGATCATTCACAAAAAGTGTAGAATATTTAACCTCCAAAAAATTCACGTTTGTTTGTTTTAGCCTGAATAGCACTTGTGTTAGCCACGGTCAATTTCATAAGTATTCACAAAGCTGCTTAGGAATCATAGAAAAAAACATTTCAAGCAGATTTATTTTTGATCATGTTTTCTTTGCTATGAAATAAATTCAGTGACAGTTCTCTGTACTTTCACTGGTACTTCAGTATATTCTTAAAGTAGGTAGTTTGACAAAATGTTAACAAATACAGATTAAAGACGACAGCAATATTCAACTTTCTGTTTTCATCTCCCAAATTATAGGAACCTGAAAACTCAAACTCTCTGAAATGAAACCAACATGGTTTAAACACTACAGATTACTATTTGGATTTTCATTTTCTCAATTTTTGTTCTGACCAACAGTCTAAAACTATTTAAAGGTCCAGTGTGTAGGATTTAGGTGAAAGGGAACTATTGGCAGAAATTTAATGTAGAATAATTCTCATGATGTTTTCACTAGATTGTTTCATCTAAATTGAATGATTTATACTTTTCTTTACCCCAGAAAAGACCCTTTATATTTAAATACATTATATTTACATTGAGGGGACCCTCTCTATGGAGGCTGCCATGTTTTTTACATTAGTCCAGACTGGACAAACTAAAACCTTTTGAGTTTTTATGACAAGTGAAGCTACCACAGGTTCTTTTTCATGTTTAGAAGGAGAGGGTGAGGTGAGGGGTGTTTAGCTGAAACATACAACTTCAACACTAGATATCAGAAAATTCTAAAAACTGTACCTTTAAATATCAAATTTACAATAATTACCAATCAGAGTAAATGAGCTTGACTTTAGTGTCAGACATAAAGGAAACATAATCTGAATCAGATTACTTATGAAGGTGTTTTTTATGATTTGGTAGAAATGACCTTTGAACTTTACATCTTTTTTATACTCTCAAACATGAGAGACAAATTCACCAGCTCTGCCGCAAAACATCGAACACAGACACTGTTGAACTGTTTATGAGACAGTTTGTTAATTTTAAGTTTCCACATCTTGTTCGCAGAGAAGCACCTTAAACCTGACACCAAAAATAAATCAGCTTGAAATGTTGAATCAACAGTTTGTGGTCTCAGTTAGTGTGATTGGAATTTTTTCTTTAGCAGCCCTACTCTGTGATTTA